CAAATGAGGCTGTGCTGCATGCTCTCTCTCTCTCTCTCTCTCTCTCTCTCTCTCTCTCTCTCTCTGTGTCTGTCTCTCTCTGTGTGTGTCTCTCTCTCTGTCTCTCTCTGTCTCTGTCTCTCTCTCTCAATCTCTCAGATTCCTTTCAAATGACTCATGATTTTACTGTGCATCTTTACATATTTTCTTCTTAGTTGTTGCTCTGTTTTCTTTGACCACTGAGGCATTTTCAAGCGTCAGTATTAGATTTGGGCTACTTTGCATTCATTTATTTATTCACTAAAATGATTTCATAGTCTGGAAGACAGTATTTACAAAGGTCAAAATACTGTTTTCCAAAATAAGCAAAGAACATTCCAAACTCAACAATAAAAATGACATATGTATGTCCAAATATGCCAAAAAGAAACTCACTATTCTGCATAACAGTAACGGCCTAATAAAGAAAGAAAAGAAAAAGAAAACACAATAGGATAGTATAAGTGGTGGGAGAGAGTTTAAAATAGCAAGGCTCACCTCACAGTGTAAGTTTGACCTTGTGGGAAAAGAAAGCAAATAAACACAAAAATGAGTTAAGATCCCTACAGAAACCTCACCAAAGAAAATGTTTAGATGAAAAGAAACACATGAGATACTGCTCAGCGTCTTGTACTCCCAGGAAGATGGAGATCAGCACTGAGATGCCGCCACCCAGCCTCTGGAGGGGTGGACGTGTGAGGCAGAAGCTGAGGAAGGCTCGAACAGCAGAACGCGGGCCGCTGCGCGTGGGGATGCCCAATGGCGCAGCCACTCCGGGAGATGGTCCTGTGGTTTCCTACAGAATCAGGCGTGCTCCTACTGCACAGTCCAGCCATCATACTCTTCAGGTGTTGTGCAAAACGAATGTCTGTTCAAAAATCACAAATATAAAACAAAGCAAACACATGCACACAAGTGCTTATTGCAGCTTTATTAATAATGCCAAAACTTGGAAACAGACAAGAAGCCCTTCAGTGAGTAAACAGGCAAACTGTGGCACATGCGCACAATGAATTATTATGGGCCATCAACCACTAGAGAGATGTGGAGGAAACAGGTGCATTTGGCTAAGTGAAGCAGGCCAGCGTGCCGAAGCTGTGAGCTGCGTGTTTCCAACCGCGTGACTTACCGGAACAGGCAAAAATGGACAAATAAAGAGATGGAGACTATAAGAGGTTGGAAGAGAGAGACATGAAGGTGGGCCGCCTGGCTCCTGGGCAGTGACGCCTGGCTCCTGGGCAGCTCCTGGGCAGTGCCTAATCGTGGATATGCATCACAGGATATTTGTCACCACCGTGTGAGCCCTCATGTGGGTTGTGGACTTGGTGATGAGGCGGTCATGTGTATGAAAGTCCTCAGCAACAGCAAGTGTTCCTCTCTGGTGCGGGCTTCTGAGGGTGGGGACCCCTCACCTGTGTGCCTGGCAGGAGGTGGGGGGATGTAGTAATTTTCCTCTTGATTTCTCGGTGAAGTTAAAATATTTCTATAAATAAAGGTCTGTTGATTTGAAAAAAAAAATGTTCCTGACTATCTGCATGTCAGGCACCAGCAGTCAGTTATCCTTACCTAAATATAATCATACTTTGGTGGGGGAACCTATATGCACGCGAGCAAACCTGGTAGGGTGAGAAGCGACCTCAGAATTCTTAGAAATGCTCCAAACCCCTGGGCTCTTTTCCCTGACCGTATCTCAGTTTCTCTTCTCTCGTTGCTGGGCCAAATACCCAACACTCAAAATGAAGGAAGAAAAGGTTGATTTAGCTCACAGTGACTGGAAGGTTCAGTCCATACTCAGCTAGCTCCAAGGCAGACTGGCACATGGCAGAGGGCAACCTTTCATGGTGGCAGCAAAGAGCAAGAGAGCAAAATGGAGGAGCAGTAGCAACAATGGCTACAGAGAGGAAGTCTGTCTCTCTGTCTCTCTTATGTTACATTCAGACTATCTACCCAATCTCAGAAGTATGAAGACCCATAATCCCAGGGGATCATGAGTTAATCTCAAACTCTAGAAGTCCCCGCCCCATGACTGCATGAAGCTTTGAGGGAACAACTAGACACAAAACATAACACCGTGTCTATACTGTTGCCACTAACGCCCCTGCCTCCATTTCAGTGACCCCTCCTGCGCCCCACTCTGCCTGTTGTGCTGTCTCCTGAGGTCACATTTGGTCTCTGCTTGTCCCCACCTCCCCCACACTCCAGCCATCCTTCCTTGCCTACCTGGCCTTTGATCCAGCAGCGTTGCCCTGGCCTGCAGCCTGCCTGCCCCAGCTACATCCTGTCCGCCGTGCATGGCAGCCCTCTGGCCCATGCCCAGCAGTATCTGAAATCTCCCTTCTTGCTTCTTTGCCTGTCCACCTATTAATGTTCCATATCTGGTCAGTGCGAGCCCCCCTTCCCACCCTCCACCTCACATGGGAAGTTCCCTCAACAAAATCACCCTGTGCGCTGGGGCGCCACCAGCTCCAGCCACCCCCGCCCCCACCAGGAGATCTCAGCTCTTCTTTGTCCCCCAGCTGGGGATTCACCTGGGCTGCTGAACGTCAGCAGCAAACTGACTCTCAGCAATGGTAGCTGGTGTCTGGTAGGAGTTCCTGCGTTCGCTGGGTGTAAGGACCCTTCCCCTCCCCTTGACTGAGGGGATCCCTGAGCTCTGGAGCAATCTCTGATTGCAAGAGATGTTGCTGATGGCCTCTTCCTGGCAAGACCAGAGCAGAGACTGAGGAGCTCCAATAGAATTGGATTCTATCTGCTACAACAAAAGAGCTGCGTCATAACTAGGACTTTGTTTGAAAAGCACAGCAATAAAGAAGGTTGCGTGTGGTGGCTCTTCTGTTGCCTCTGCTTGCCTTTGTAGACACAGACAGGAATACTCTGTTTAACAACCAACAAGCTTATCTTGTTTCCCTCGCGTCTCTTTCTGTGTCTTGCTCAGGACTGAAGATGTCACGGAGAACGTTCTTGCAATTGCTCTCAGCGTCCTGGTTTCCCTCCTGGGGTTCCTGACCCTGAATCGAGGCTTCTGCAGAGACCTGTGGGTGCTGCTCTTCTGCGTGGTCATGGCCAGCTGCCAGTACTCCCTGCTCAAGGCAAGCCCCCAGCCTGCCCTCTCCCTGCTGTGGGCTTTCCAGTCTGGCCTGCCTTCCTGAGATGACACTGTGCTTCTGCTTTGTGTTTCAGAGCGTGCAGCCGGACCCTGCCTCCCCGATACACGTGAGTGTCCACACGGAGGCAAGGCACTTGTCCTGTGTGCTAGTACTGGGGAGACAAGGAGAAGCTAAAATCCATTCAAAGGACAAAGACCTGCATCTGTATTCATAGCTTTTTTTTTTGTTTTTTACTTTTTTTACCTCTAGTATTAAAGGTTGAATGTAGGGTCTTTAAACTTTGCTACATCTTCAGCCCTTTTTTATTGTCTTGAGACAAGATCTCACTAATTTGCTAAGTTGCCTGAGCTGTGCTCAAACTTGAGATCCTTCTGACTCAGCCTCCCTGAGGATTAGGGTGACAGTTGTGTGTGACCACACCAGGCTTGTCTTTCGACTATTTGATTGACAGCACTGCTTAGATAGAACTATGCTTGCGTGACGGCTGTGCCCTGGCTACACGTGAGCAGCATGGCGTGGTGTGAACGCTGCGGGGGCTGCGCAGTGTGGCCCAGGGCCCATGCAGGGCACCTTTCCTGTCCCTTGACTGTGCTGGGAGGGATGAGCCCGCCTGGCAGAGGCTGTGGAGTCTGTCATCGGATTGCCTACTGTTATTTCTGATTCCTCCTCTTGACTATTTGATGCTGAGCAAAACACCAGTCCTTTTATTTTTCATTTTCTTTTATTTTAAAGCAAAAACAAACAACAAGGACAAAGACAAAAAAACAAAATGACATAAAACAAAAATGGTATGGCATTTCAAAAGAGGAATAGAATATTAACAACTGTTGCTATACTACACATTCATATCACCAAATGGGTTGTTCAGATTACTAGATAGAGGCACGTGAGGCTGATCAAACGATTAAACATTAACTCTTTCAATAAGATATTAGAAATAATACACATTTAAAAAACAAAACAACGTGAAAGGCATTCAACAGTGATGGTTGTATTGTCTCCCTAGGAGAGAACCTAAAAGATTAAATTTGAAAGTTATAATAGATATAGTAAAATGGAAAGAAACTGAACATAAGGAATAAATGATATGAGGGAAAGGAAAAAAAGATAGGAAGAAAAGGAAGAGGAAAATCATGAAAGTATACACAGGAAAGCAGATACAATTGTGCTACTAATTCTTATCAATTTTTTGAAGGTAGCAGTTAATGTTTAACATTTTTCCTTTGAGCAATTTTATATGCTAGTATCTATAATCTGATGAGCTACACTGGAGACAGCAATGTGCAACACCAGTCCTTTTAAAGCCTTGGTTTCCCTGTGTGTCAATAAAGCGAAATAGATGCCTGTGGAGCTTAAGTGATGCATGCAACTTGCTTAGAGCAAAGCTTGGCGTAGAGAGGCCACTCCATAAGCTTTGGCTACTATAGTTCTTTTTAAAGTAGTATATATTTTGGGTCAATCATTATAATTTGATATATTTATACACTGTGGAGTGACCAAATTAAGCTAACCAACTTCATTGTTTTCTCTCCCCTGGTAAGAACATGTAAGATCTGCTCTCAGAATTTTTTTTTAATGTGTTTTTTTTTTCAGCACAGAGATTTTTTATTTTTTTTATTTTTATTTTTTAGAGCTATAAATTTATCTTTTTTATTTTTTTCATAATTTTATTGATAAACAAATAGGAATTAGACAGTTTCAAATCAAATCGCTAGGACAGTTTCAATAATCAACACACTGCATACATTCTTCTTAGTGGTTAATTGCTGTACAAGATGTGGATCTGAGATCCTATTTACAAACACCACCAGAACAAGTCATTCTATTCATTAAGAGAATGTAACTATACATCTATCCTAACCACTTTGAATACACAGATACAAAATGGACATTCATCAGTATACCCCATTTTTTTGCTAAGTTCCGTTATTTGAATATTATAGGTGTGTAAACTCAGCAAAGTATTCTAAAAGAGTCCAGTAGCCCATAATAGTATCGGGTCTTCTGCTTAACTGGCAATGTCAGAAATTGTTGACCTGAGTCCCCCACAGCTCAACATAACAGCATGGCTTTGCTTCCTATATTTCGTCTTCATACTTTTCTACTGGATGGTTAAGACCAAGGTAAAGCAGGACCTATGCAACAAGAGTTGTAGCTTTTGGGTCTGAGAAGGTCAGTGAAATCCCCTCAGGATTTATGCTGAGATCCTGTACCTCAGATTGTAGAACGTTTGTCAGTGTCAACCATGTGGATGAGTCACGGCCATTGCTTGGCCAATGTGCTCTCTGTGAAAGCCTGAGAGAATGTTTTCTCTCCATGTGACTCTCCTTAGGCACACTCTACATCATCGATCACTTTCCTCTTTGGCCCCATAATCTCCTTGATCAGAAAATAATGTTTTAGTACAGGGTCTACAGGGTCTCTTGCTAGGTAGATCAGACTCATAGTGATCCTCCTGTTTTCAGCTTCCCAAGTGCTGGGATTACAAGTGTGCACCCAGTCTCAACTGCTGTCTCAGCACACCTGGGGGGCGGGGCCAGCATGGCACACAGGGCATCGAACCCTGGCCGCTGTGCTCTGCCTAAGCAGGTGCTTTAATCTGCTGAGCTATCTGGCTGGCCCAAAACTTTTTAAGACTATGATACATTGTTATCAACCACACTCACCATATCACATAATAGACCTTGAGAACTCCTTCCTCTTGTCTATGTGACTGTGTATTCTTTTGCCAGCATCTTATTTCACCACCCCCCGACACCCACCATTTTACTTCCTGCTTCTGTGAGTTTGATTTTTTTTTTTATTCTAGGTGTAAGTAATTTGTCTTTATGTGGCTGGCTTATTTCTCTTAGCCTAATTACCTCCAGGTTTATCCATGTTGTTACAAATGACAAAATTTCTTCCTTTTAAAGGCTCCATAATATGCTAATGTGTGTGTGTGTGTGAGTGTGTGTGTGTTCGTACATGCTTACATGCATACCCCATTTCCTTTGTCATTTCATCCTTCCCAAGTCACTAGGTTGTGTCAGTTTCTTGGCAATTGTGAACAGTGCTACAGCAAACGTGACAGTGGTGATGTCTCTTCCACTTAGTACTGTATTTCACTTTCTTTGGATATACACCGGAAGTAGAATTGCTGGATCATGTGGTGGTCTTATTTGCAATTTTTCCGAACCTTTGTATTGTTCTCCATCATGGCTGTGCCACTAGTCTAATCATAAACAAGAGTCCTCTTTTCTCCACATCCTCATTAAAAATTATCTTTGTCTTTTTTTCTAGTAGCCGTCTAGCAGGTGTGAGGTGATATCTGGTTGTGGCTTCCTTTGCATGCCCTTGAGTAGTCTCCTTCCGTGAAGCTGGTCTCGTCTCATGCCTTGTTCTTAAATACGCTGCTCCCCTTAACCCCGTTACTTGGGGCTGACTTAGGACAGAGGCCCGGGTTTGCTGAAGCTGAGCTGCTGGCGTCTGACATTCTGCAGTGAGTCTGCAGCCAGTGGTTCTCTCCACCCTGAGTGCCTGCAGCTTGGGGGTGCCGAGCGGCAGGTGCCGTCCTTGCGCACAGCTGTCATGTGCTTTGCATGGAGCCCACTGGCCGGTGGCCCACTGGGCTCTCTGAGGTCACCCTTCTTGCCTTTATTACGGATGCTTCTGTGCACACCTAGAAAATCCTTCCAGTGAAAGAAAGCTGAATCATCCCTCTATTGTGCTTTTAAAACATGTACATCCAGGATTTAGGACTGATTTTTAAATCTGTGGAGGTTCATGCTTGGCTCATAGTAATTAAGAAAAGATTATAATTGAATGGTCACATGGCTCACGACGCTATATGCTGTCTTGTTAAATTCCTCTGTTCCTCATAATTGGTTTACATATAATACATCTTCTTTCCTGGAGTCTGAATGTCAAGATACGTTGCAGCTGCATAATTAGAGTATTAAGATGTATTGTTGTGATTATCGTCAGAAATCTCGAGTAGGTGGTGTGAAGGAGTTGCACAGCTCTGAAGGATTCTGGGGAAGCGCCCCACCCCCACCCCGGGCGCGACATCACTGACTCCTTTCTTCTGTGCTTCAGTGGTTCAGATTTTCTGGGTGGCTCAGGGAGAGCTGCTATACGTTAGTAAGCCTCCCTGTCCTGTCCAGCATGCACTTTGAGAAATGATGTGGAGAGTGGCAGGATGGGAGGGACAAGGAGGTCCCACAGGCCTGGTGGAATTGCGGGGCTGTTACTTATGATGCCTGGGTTGCTGTACTGAGCTGTAATAATACTGCTTGCTTCCTAGAGGAATGGACCAAGCTGTCATTCCATTATCTGAGTAAGCTTGTCATAGCGAAGCAGGAAGAAATGATTTTTCTTGCTGTCATAGTAAGGCATAGATATCCAACCATGTTTATTGCAGTAATTAATTTGCTTACACAGATTTATAAGTAGATCAGCCCCTTATTTGAATTGGCCTCTCTCCAGTGTTCTAATGAAGAAAGAAAATGGGAGAGCTACAAAGTGTTTTCTCCTGCAGTCTGACTGAATCATGCGGATATTTAGGAGGCAATTGGTGAACTACAGTTTATAACAGAAAACTTGAGAGGGATCAGGGTTAAGAGGGCTGAGGTTTTAGGCACAAACCTGGCTCTTAGACCTGCTGCTCCCTCCAGCCCTGGCCACCTTCCATTCATGCAGGCTGTCAGGATCAGGCTGCTTTTTAAACTGTACTGCTGCGTATTTATAAGGAGGCGACTATAACAAATACTACCATTTGTTGTTGCTGCTGTCTTGGGGTGCTGAGGATTGAACCCAAGGCCTTTGTGCTGAGCTACATTTCTAGCCTCACTTTATTTATTTATGTTTTATTTATTTATTATTATTGTTATTATTATTCTTTGTATTTTAGGGAAGAGTCTACAGGGTGTCCAAGGTCTCACTACTAGATGGGACTCCTAGTGATTCTCCTGTTTACAGCCTCCCAAGAGCTGGGATTACAGGCACGCACCACCATGCCCAGTCATCATCTCAGCGCGCCCCAGGGGCAGAGCCGGCACAACAGGCCTGGGGATAGAACCCCTGGCCCCTGTACCTGCTTGCAGGTGTTTTAATCCCCTGAGCAATTTGGCCGGCCCTTATTTTTTATTTTGAGAGATGATCTTGCTAAGTTCCCAGGGCTGTACTTGAACTTCTCCTCCTCCTGCCTCAACCTCCCAGAGTGCTGGGCTCCAGGCATGCATGACCACACTCACATTTTGATAAAATGTGCAGAGCGTCAGGCCATCCCACTCCCTTCCTGAGAGGACCAGTAGGCTGGCAGGTCCCTGCAGGTGTGGGTGGGCTGGCTTTGCTAGTGGATTCTTGTGTGTCCCCCATCCTGCTACTGCTCTATGACTAGCGAGTCATGCAGTTTGCATGTGGAGGGCTGATGGGAACTGAATACGTTCACAGACACCAGCCAGTTTTGGCAGGCTCAGAAGACACTCCCCTCAGAGCGCTTCCTGCGGTGTACTTTAAGGGGCAAAGCGGTGCCAGATGGCTGAACTAAGTGAACTTTTAGAAGACTTGTCAGACTTCAACTGGTGGAACAAGTGGGATATTTTCTCCTCCCTCCCTCATTCTCTCCCTCCCTCTCTCCCTCTCTCCATCCCTTCTTCCCTCCCTCCCTCCATCCCTGCCTCCTTCCCTCCATCCCTTGCTTCCTTCCCTCCCTCCCTCCCGCCCTCCCTCTCTCCCCCTCCTTTGCTTTCTCCTTCCCTTTTTCTTTCCTTATCTCTTATACTAGGGATGCAACTCGAGGCCTCATCCCTAGCTCCTTTTTATATATTTTGAGACAGGTCCTCATTAAATCACTAAATGGCCCAGGCTGAGCTTGAACTTGACAATCCTTCTTGCTCAACTTCCCAAAGTGCTGGGATTACAGATGTGCATTACTAACCTTGCCATGAGTGGAATTTTTATTTACAAAAAACAAACAAACAAGAAAATCCATGAAGATTTTGATGATTGATTTATATATGAAACCAGGAACTGAGAGGGAGGCAATTTTGTTAGTATGTGCTGTTAGGAATCAAGGCAGAAAAAAAGAACTTAGTGTTGTGTATTAGTGATATTCCTCGAATGGCTTGGGGATCTCAGATACAGGATGGAAAAATTAGGAGATACGTGAATGTGGCAAGAAGGGCAAGCATTTTTTAAAAAAATGTATTTAGTACAGGGTCTACAGGGTATCACCACAGAGACCGGACTCAGTGATCCTCCTGTTTTTCAGCCTCCCAAGTGCTGGGATTATAGGTGTGTGCCATCACACCCAATCTCAGGCACCTCTCAGTATGCCATGGGGGCGGGGCCAGCACTACCCATGGGGGATCGAACCCTGGCCCCTGCTTCTGCCAAAGCAGGTGCTTTAATCTGCTGCGCTGTCTGGCCGGCCCAAGGCAAGCTCTTTGTCAAGGCACTGCATGCTCTTTTTCTTGAATTATAAACTCAATGAGAGCATTCCCGTGTCTGATAAAGTTTGACTCGGAAGATCCCACATGAGTTCTTAAATTATTCAAGGCCAGAGACTTTCAGCTGTTGGATCATATATTTTAACCTTTTACCCAAAAGATTTTTTCTTTTTCTTTTTTGGTATCGGGACTTGAACTCAGGACCTCGTACTTGTCAGGCAGGCACTGTGCCACTGAGCTATATCCCTGGCCCTGTATTTTAACCTTTTAATAAAAAGAAGAATCAAAGCAAGTGGAAGTTAGCTGTTTCCCTGTCTTTCCTGACATGTGTCAGTTTGAGGAAATGCCCCCTACCAATGTATATCAGTAGTCCACATAGATATTCACACCCGCTAATTTACTTGGCTATTCATTTGATGAAAAACGCATTCCGTTTACCTTAGGCTTTAGTTTCCTTCTTTTCTGTAATGCAGAGAAAGTTTTTCCATACTCATTAATCTGTGACCTAGTTGAATTCAAAAGAAAATATTTTTCAAGGCTCAGCTTGGTTTCAGGACCAAACAGAGCCAGCCTCTTTGGAGGCCCTGTGTCTTCCTACGTATGGAAAGATGGTCTTGGGAAAGAACTACTTCTATTTTAGAAGCAGTGGCAATTTAAATTGCATTTCTAAATATAACCTGTTCAAAACAGGGACTAAAAATTCATATCTGAGGTCCTATCACTTTAATCTCTAACTCTTTCCACTCAGGGTAATTCAGGAATAGCAAAGTGGATTCTTCCCACAACTCATTTTTGCCTGCTTTTCAAATCTTATGAATTGCGTATTGATTTGTAAGATGTAAATTCATTTGCTGGCTTTTGTCCGGGAAAGTTGATGTTACATCTTTTCCTTAAATTTATTTAGTCATGGGAGAAAATGAATGAAAAGTCTTCCTATTTCTTTTAACAATATTTTAAGAGCTAAGTGAGTCTGCCAGGTATTTGGTTCCTGTCAGAGAAAAGTGATGTTTAAATAGTCACAATAACAAGTTTATTTAAAAACTGGAATATTCCATGGTGTTTCACTAAGACAGCATAAACAATGGAAGTGTACCTTTGGATCTAAATTTTTTGTTTTGTATGGAATTATGTAATTTCAGCTCACAACTTCACAACTTATTTCTGGTATATATATATATATATATATATA